ATAACAGCCTCCACTCTTCTGGGAAGGCTTTCCACTAGATGTTGGAACATTGCTGATGAGACTTTCCTCCATTCAGCCACAAGAGCATTTGTGAGGTCGGGCACTGATGTTGGGTGATTAGGCCTGGCTCGCAGTCGGCATTCCAATTCATCCCAAAGGTGTTCGATGGGGTTGAGGTCAGGGCTCTGAGCAGGCCAGACAAGTTCTTCCACAACGATCTCGAAAAATGATTTCTGTATGGACCTCACTTTGTGCACGGGGGCATTGTCATGCTGGAACAGGAAAGGGCCTTCCCCAAATTGTTGCCACAAAGTTGGAAGCACAGAATCATCTAGAATGTCATTGTATGCTGTAGCGTTAATAATAATAATAATAATATGCCATTTAGCAGACGCTTTTATCCAAAGCGATTTACAGTCATGCGTGCATACATTTTTTTGGTGTATGGGTGGTCCTGGGGTTAAGATGTCCCTTCACTGGAACCTTCAGCACTCGGCAGCCCCGTTCTGTGAGCTTGTGTGGCCTACCACTTTGCGGCTGAGTCATTGTTGCTCCTAGACATTTCCACTTCACAATAACAGCACTTACAGTTGACCGGGGCAGCTCTAGCAGGGCAGAAATCTGACGAACTGACTTGTTGGAAAGGTGGCATCCTATGACGGTGCCACGTTGAAAGCTACTGAGCTCTTCAGTAAGGCCATTTTGCTGCCAATGTTTGTCTATGGAGATTGCATGGCTGTGTGCTCGATTTTATACACATGTCAGCAACAGGTGTGGCTGATATAGCCAAATCCACTCATTTGAAGGGTTGTCCACATACTTTTGTATGTGTGTGTGTTTTGACACTTGAGGTTGCTTGGAGTCATCAGGCTTCAAACCACCATTCTTATACTGACGATAAAGGATTCTTTAAGCAACATAATAAATATTAAAATACACCATTCATATGTTCAAATGACCTTGTTGAATGACTGTATGTGTGATTAGCAGCCTGCTACAGGGAGAGAACAATAGGCTCTGAACTGATCAATGTCTAAACGTATGTAATTAATCTACTTAATTACCTCCCTCTCTCTACCTCAAGGACTTTAAAGGTCACATGCGAGCACTTACATTTCACATCCATAGCAATTACCAACGTTATTCTAATGGTGGTAAAGCAACATTTAACAGCTGTGAACTGTAAACAGATGTGCCACAGTATCCATACACCAATACTAAAAACAATAGCAGTGAATGTATTATCCGCTCATTCCACTATCTGGGTAAGAGCTGTTACACAAACATGATTACTGATTCTGATTATTCTATCACATGCTGCCATCACAGCACTGTGTGATGCACCAGATTGAAAGCAGATAAAAACCATTGCATAAATTTGCACAGGTTTTTATTTTTTAGGGGTTTGTTTTAATGAATAACTTTAGGGGATTATGCACCCATCTCATAAATTGAATTGGGGTAAAGTAGCAGCAGTAATACACATTAAGAAGATACCTGCAGGAAGTCATATTACAATACCTGGGCCCGTATTCATAAAGTGTCTCAGGGTAGGAGTGTTGATCTAGGATCAGGTCCCCCCTGTCTATGTAATCTTATTCATAATGATCTAAAAGGCAAAACTGATCCTAGATCAGCACCCCTACTCTGAGATGTGTTATGAATATGGGCCCAGCAGTACAGTATGTCCATAATAGAAACAGTGAGGAGTCTTAGATGACAGCTTCTCCTCAGGCCAGACAGACAGACATCACCTAGGATTTGGCCTACATGTGAGCACATTAGTCTGCTTTATTATTTCCTTATGGCAGTTTAATTTATATATATATCAAGCTTTTTCTGCCTACTCTGGCAGTTTTGGGAATGATTATAAATGACCCTTTCACTGCTGTGTCCATGGCAACCCATTTCCCTTGCACTGTTCTGTAGTGGTGGGGCCTGTCCTCGTTCTAACTGTCTGTCTCTGACTGTGTCTTTGTTGTGTTTCTTGTTGTCCCGTTTCTTCCTCAGCGCTGCAGTGAGCAGTAGGGGAAAGACAATGACGAGAGAGTTACTACTAAAATGACTCAAGTGTTGTGTGGCTGTCCTCTTTTTCATGGCCCTTGGGGAAGAAAAGAGGCCTTGTCTGGTCGCATTAGTGGCCTGAGCTTTTGTCAAGACACTGGAGAAGGCTGCTCGGGCTAATCTACGAGTCCTGTGAACAGTGGTAGAGTTGGCAAGTATAGACAAGGCGTTCAATAAGAGAGAATTATTCAATGCTTCACTCCATGACTTTCAGGGCATACAGTAGGTTTGAGATATAAAATACAGCTATGGAGAGAATTCACTGAATTTAATGACTGGTGCTGTTCAACTGTTGACCATCTTTAGAAGTAGACTGTATACATGAGTGATTTTTATGCCAATGGTACATGCATCCCCATTGGCACAGGGTGCAGATACATTTGACCTACTACTACTGGATCTTATGAATTGGTGGGGATAAGACAGGTACATGAACTGCATTAGGAGAAAGGCAGAGAGAGCATGATACAGAATGCAGAAACACAGACACCAACACTAGTATAATATTATATTATTTATTTATCTTTGTACAATGTAATTAAATACAAAATTCTGTAAATAAAGAATAAAAATAAACTCCACTGGTTTGTTATCACTACACTATGGTTTACAATCAAGTTTATGAGGTCATTTAGTTTCCTTATTTTGAACATCATTAACCTACATTTTAATTTAGAGGGTGTGCAAACAATGGGAATTTAACGAAATAAAAACAGCAATTTCATGAATAACTACGTCTTTTCTCTTAAAAGACAGGGAGAGAATTAATTTAGAAAATCAATTTGTCTAAACGAGCAAAAACATGGGCCCCTCACTGGTGATTTATATCTTTGGGAAAGCGAATGAATGTCAGTCAGTATTGTGCCGCATGTAAAAATGGCAAAGCCTGATTGGCCGAGTCCTAAGGAGTTAATGACCAGGAGAGCGGGATGGATGGAGCCTGTTTGTCTAGTTGTGATGTCCATTCAATAACACTGGTCCCCTGGGTCCCACTCCGTCTCACTCCCAGACACTCATGTTGTTTGGGGCAGGATTGTACATAAAGCAGTATAATGGCAAATAGCATAACGCATCCCATCTAAGCACATGCGTTTGCCCCGTCTTGACCTGCCAATGGAAGTCCTGCCAAGTGGGCTAAAATTCCGATATGGGGTTGTAGCTATAGTATACTGCATATTTATTGTCTAAAGTCACAGAAGGAAATGCTTGCCTTTTTTGAGAATATGATCAAACAGTAAAGTATTGTTTCTATGGAGCGCTAAATGCATGGTGAGTATCATTCTAACAGAAGTGCCTTTGTTTGGGAGCAGTGAAAGGAGTTTAAAGGAATGAAACAACCAGTCTGTTTAAAGTAACGTTGTTTGACAGTGCATTGCCTGTATGGTATTTGATTAATCCACCCTTTTCTTCCTTCATCTTTTCTCAGTTCATCACAGCCTTTCAATAGTCCACCTCCTCAAACTCATTCTCGTAAGTATGGCTTCGGTCTCTCCGTCTATCTTTCACCTTCTCGTTCTTTCTCTTCCCCCGACTATCCGTATCACTTTCATGTCTTTGTTTGCCCTCTACAAAGATGGATGCCTTCCTCTGTCTGTTTAAAATGGTAAATGACTCATCACTTCCTCTAGGCATCTTTACTCAGCCTGGTAGAGCACACACAGCAGGTGCCATAACTTCTGCCCGTCACAATGGCCTCAGGACAAGAGCCTGGATCCAGAAGCCTCTACAAACTGACTGTAGTCCCATTATGTCAGAAGTGCAGCTTGACCCAGCCCACTGGGCACACACCGATTGAATCAACGTTGTATCCATGTCATTTCTATGAAATTGCGTTGAACCATCGTGGAATAGACGTTGAATTGACGTCTGTGCCCAGTGGGAGGCACTACTTTTGACCAAGGCCCTATACGGGAATATGGTGCCATTTCAAAACGCAGCCCCAGTGACTCGCCCCAAACTTACCCTCTTTATCTTACGACGTGCTCAAGCTCTCCTCTCTTGAATCTCAGGCTCAATATTTCTAAATAGACCCTCATAGCGTTGACTGACTACACTCGTACAGGGGTGACTACAACCATGTTTTAGAATATAATGCGAGACAACCAACCACGTTGGAATGTGCCGCACTATTTGGACCCTTTCCAGAATGTTCTAGGGTTCTAGTGTGTCTGCCCTGCAGGTGGAGTGGCACTGGGACAGTGGGGTGCATTAGGTCACCATAGTGATTTAGCTAACAGTGACTAATTTGGGTTGAATAGCAAATTGACGGTTCCACATGGATTGGGAATTAATAGCGAGTGAAAAAAGCATGCTATTTATTTACACTCGTTTCCAACCTCTCGTTTCATGACTCACTCCCTGTTTTTGCTCCCTCCGTTGCCATAGTTACAGTTGCTAGTATTTCCCTCCTCTTTCCAGTTCCACAACAATAAATGCAGGGAGAAACAACACTGATTTTTTAAAACGATGTAAAACTTGAACGGTTCAAATCTAAGTAAAAATCATAAATATAACAATTTTTTGCCGCCAAACTGTCACTCTTATTGGTCGATGCCTCCTTTGGGGTCTCTACCATCGAGTTGTGTCATTGGCTAGTCAACCAGGGCCTTTGCTGTGCTTGGGTAACACCAACGTAATCTCTCTCAGTGTCCTGTGATGTGTCCATATTCTCTGGCTCCTCCACAGATCCCCACGCAGAACATGATTGCTAGAGAGCCAGTGGAATGCATCGCGAGGAGCCCCACACACAGTCATCATGTCCCCCCTGCATTCAGACCCAATTTACATCCTGGGGTCTCAACAGAGGAGAAAATCAAGAGGAGGGGGAGCGAAAGCATTTAGGGGCAGGGGGCTGGGGGGAAGTGGAGTGGTTCTGTCTTGTTGGGGGTCTGCATCATTATAGTCTATGCAGTGGCCCGACCTGGGTTAATACCGAGTTAAAGCTCGATCTCAAAGGTCTTTTGCAAGTCATTGGAGAAGGGGTTGGGCGCCGCCCTGGGTTGCGATTTGGTCTCCAGCGCGGCCCACTTTGCCTCGAAGCGATCAACCTCCTGGGCATTGGCTGGGGGCGGGTTGGCCTGCTGTGCGCCTTCCGGTGGCCAGCTACTGCTGCTGCCGCCGTTGCTGCTAATGCCGTTCTGCGTGATGGTGGCGGGGGAGGAGGTGGGAATGTTGTGGGGGAGGCCGTTGACGGTGGGATGAGCTCCGAAGGGTGGCATAGGGAACCCGCCCGGCTGGCCGGAGAAAGAGTGGCGGTGCCCACCGCTGAGCGTGCCCATTTTGGGCCCTGTGCCCATGCCCATGGAAGGCCCACTGGTAGAGCCCCCTGCCGTGCAGAAGACATTAGCCACCATCTGGGAAGGCGTGATGCCCACCACAGGCACACTGGCATTGGAGTATGTCATGCTGTTGGCCAGGGCGGGCATGTAGGCCTGCATGGGTACAAACGCTGGCTGCAGGGGTGGCTGGGCATACATGCCCACGGGCACGGGAGTGGCATCAAACGCCAAAGGAAAGGGCTGCATGGAAGTGGGCAGGGAGCCAGGTACCACTGGCATGGATGCCCCCATTAGGGGCACACCTGACATAGGTGGGCCAGACATAAGTGGGTTAGACATAGCTGCGCTTGACATGGGTGGCCCTGGAATGGCAGGGGTGGGCTGGATGGGTGGCGGGGGCAGGGTGGGGGTCTGTTGCTGGGCCTTGACGGCCTTGGCCACCTCCTCCAGCCAGCGCTCAGCCTCGGAGGGCGTCCTCCTGTGCCCGCTGTGGACAACCGGGGGAAGGGACTGGACCGGGGGCTCCGCCTGCACCCAGGAGGACGTGGCTGTGGGAGAGAAGAAGAGAACACCACGTCAATCACGTTACATCAACCCTGCTGCTGGATCTCTCTAGTGCTTTACCATGACAAGCACAGAGAACACACACACACATCCTTTTCAGAAGCCTTTTCTGATTAGGGCCGGTATTCAATGCAAGGTGCGCTATATATATAACAAACTTTTGAGGGTTAAGCCAACATCCGCAGCGTTTACCATGAATTTGATCTCTACAAACATCGGGGAAAAGGCCTTTAAAAAGCTGCATTGCCGGCTGTATAGTGACCTGCGTTATAGCAAACCACAGATTGAATCCCGGCCTAGAGATACACACAAATAACTTACACTTTTCAGGCAAATCAGTCTTACAAGCATTAGAAGCAAATCAGCATTAGTAACATTACAAATACAAACACATTACAAATACAAAGTTGGAGTTGAGCTGTAAACTACATGTTAAGCCAGACTAGAGCTCATAGAGAGAGAATGATAAGGTAGTCAATGAGTTACCTTGCAGGGGGGCGGTTGGAGGGGGGATGGCTGGGGGCACAGTGCAGGCTGGCAGGCCGTTGGGGGTGGGGTTGGAGAAGAGTTCCTCAGAGGGCTTGGTGAAGGAATGGTTGATCTGGCTGCACAAAGCGTTGATGCTGCTGTCTGCCTCTCCACACACTGACAAATCAATCTCTGGGACTAAAGAGGAGGAGAAGGATTGAGGATTTGCTTTCCTTTTGATGATTTGATGGCAAGATTAAAGTCTTGAGCCAAACATACACTTACGTAAGTAAGTATTTGATCCCCTGCTGATTTTGTATGTTTGCCCACTGACAAAGACATGATCAGTCTATAATTTTAATGGTAGGTTTATTCGAACAGTGAGAGACAGAATAACAACAAACAAATCCAGAAAAACGCATGTCAAAAATGTTATAAATTGATTTGCATTTTAATGAGGGAAAAAAGTATTTGACCCCTCTGCAAAACATGACTTAGTACTTGGTGGCAAAACCCTAGTTGGCCACCAGGTTTGCACACATCTCAGGAGGGATTTTGTCCCACTCCTCTTTGCTGATTTTCTCCAAGTCATTAAGGTTTCGAGGCTGACGTTTGGCAACTCGAACCTTCAGCTCCCTCCACAGATTTTCTATGGGATTAAGGTCTGGAGACTGGCTAGACCACTCCAGGACCTTAATGTCCTTCTTCTTGAGCCACTCCTTTGTTGCCTTGGCCGTGTGTTTTGGGTCAATGTCATGCTGGAATACCCCTCCACGACCCATTTTCAATGCCCTGGCTGAGGGAAGGAGGTTCTCACCCAAGATTTGACGGTACATGGCCCCGTCCATCGTCCCTTTGATGCGGTGAAGTTGTCCTGTCCCCTTAGCAGAAAAACACCCCCAAAGCATAATGTTTCCACCTCCATGTTTGACGGTGGGGATGGTGTTCTTGGGGTCATAGGCAGCATTCCTCCTCCTCCAAACACGGCGAGTTGAGTTGATGCCAATGAGCTCGATTTTGGTCTCATCTGACCACAACACTTTCACCCAGTTCTCTTCTGAATCATTCAGATGTTCATTGGCAAACTTCAGACGGGCCTGTATATGTGCTTTCTTGAGCAGGGGGACCTTGCGGGCGCTGCAGGATTTCAGTCCTTCACGGCGTAGTGTGTTACCAATTGTTTTCTTGGTGACTATGGTCCCAGCTGCCTTGAGATCATTGGCAAGATCCTCCTGTGTAGTTCTGGGCTGATTCCTCACTGTTCTCATGATCATTGCAACTCCACGAGGTGAGCTCTTGCATGGAGCCCCAGGCCGAGGGAAATTGACAGTTATTTTGTGTTTCTTCCATTTGCAAATAATTGCACCAATTGTTGTCACCTTCTCACCAAGCTGCTTGGCGATGGTCTTGTAGCCCATTCCAGCCTTGTGTAGGTCTACAATATTGTCCCTGACATCCTTGGAGAGCTCTTTGGAGAGTTTGGAATCTGATTGATTGATTGCTTCTGTGGACAGGTGTATTTTATACAGGTAACAAACTGAGATTAGGAGCACTCCCTTTAAGAGTGTGCTCCTAATCTCAGCTCGTTACCTGTATAAAAGACACCTGGGAACCAGAACTCTTTCTGATTGAGAGGGGGTCAAATACTTATTTCCCTCATTAAAATGCAAATCAATTTATAACATTTTGACATGTGTTTTTCTGGATTTTTTTGTTGTTATTCTGTCTCTCACTGTTCAAATAAACCTACCATTAAAATTATAGACTGATCATTTCTTTGTCAGTGGGAAAACATACAAAATCAGCAGGGGATCAAATACTTTTTTCCCTCACTGTATATAATGATATAGGATTAAAGTACATGACACTGGATGTAAACATTTCGAAGCCCTTAATTGAAATGGAATCTGTTTCCATGGTCCTATGAGGTCTACATAATCGTTTGCACTTCAAAGTAAGAAAATAAAAGTTCCTCTGTAACACACCCAACCAGTCTGTTTTTCATGCATGAGATTCCCTATAGCCTAAATCTTTCATGTAGAAAACAGAGGGAAAACTTTCAACATATCACCAGTAGATAAAAATAGCTAATCATTTGTGTAATTCCTCTATCAGTGACCTGTCCCTGACAGAGAGAGAGCTATGCCTGTGGAGAGCAGAGAGAGTTGTGGGGCCAATCAGAACCAGAGGGGTCAGTGGTGGATGTAATCCCTATGGAGCTGCTGCTGCACAGTTGCTCTGTTGGGTCCTATACATTAGGGCACACCGCAGCAAAATCTTTTGCAACGGAAAACAAAAATGGGCATTTCTTATTGGACAAGTTTAAGTAGTCACTCCCTGTTTCAGTCTGTTTTCTTCTGTTTGGTGCCTAATGAATATGACCCTGCTTAGAAGAACAACTCCAGGTACAGATGTAGAGTGTCTTTCTGTCTGGAGAGCCAGGCCCTGCTGCTTTGTTCATGACAGGCCTGCCTTGTAAGGTCTCTCTTTCTGAACATTTGATTGGCCCATAGGTTTCAGAGAGGACGGGAGCAGCTGTGGGGTTTCTCTGTGTAGTAGTGTAGTGTGTGTGTGTGTGTGTGTGTGTGTGTGTGTGTGCGTGTGCGGGCATGCGTGTGTGTGTGTGTGTGCGTGTGTACATCCTTGTGTGTGTGAGTGTGTGCATCATTGTGTGTGCATGTGTGTGTGTGTTTGTGTGAACTACAATCCCTGGTTCTATGGCTGTGAGATGGGCTGGCTGGGGGCTGTGTTAGTGGACAAGACAGCTTTAAGGTCTAGTGAAGACTGCTGGTAGAACCCTGGATCATAGACAGATTGTTCACTGAGAGAGCTGGTGGACTACTGGGGAGGGGGGGAGGTAGTCAAGTTAGCTGCTACTGTGTGTGTGTGTGTGTACATGTGTCCTGTGCTTGCGTGTGTTCATGCTTGTGTGGCTACTATTGCTAGCTAAGTGCGTGTGTGGGTGTGCGCGTGTCTTCTATGCATGCGTGGGATTCAGATAGGGACAGATCCTATACGAAAGAGAGAATCTCTGTACACTATTCTACTACTGCTACTGCTACATACATTCATGTAAATAGATGTCAGGCACAATTGTGCTGCCTCCGGTCTCATAATAACTATAATCAACATAACTGAGAGGTTTAATATACCTCACTACAGCAGAAATAAAGCCATGCTGGGAATCCTTATTATTATACTTGTTAAAAATAACCATTACATGGACTCAGTAATCAGCCACAGCAATCAACAACAGCCTTAATAACACAGTAATGATCAACTTCACTGCTATTATGACCCCAATCAATCAATCCCTGGCTTCACTTGTTCCTGGTCAAATACTACTTTGGTATAATTATAAACACCACCATACGTTGTCATAAGGGTCCATAGTTTTTCCTGACCCATGATCTGACCAGGAAAAAGCCCTGAGTTATCCTTGGTCAGAACATGAAGGCAGGAAAACTCCAGGCACTGGTTGACATTAGCCTTTATTTCCAGGCTTCCTCCGAGTGATGAACACGACATGGAAGGGTGGCATTGCCGGACTATGTTGTCCTAGACTGGTGAGGCTGAACACTCTTTGTCCTAGTTCGTAGAATGCAGAGACTTAGCTAAGCTAACATAAACAGGTGAGGCTAACCTGGGTTCTTGCTCTGGAAATCGGCGGTCTTGCGCTGCAGGTTGGAAGGCAGGTCATTGAGGCGCAGCGAGAGCTGCCTCTTGAATGGCGAGTTCTTCCCGCTGAGGGCCGGGAAGCCCCGGAAGGAGCCCTGCCGCACCAGCTGCTCAATGGGCGCGTGGCGCCGCGGGATGGCGTGCTCCACCCCCTGCCCCAGAGGCGAGGCCGTGCCCTCAGGGGGTGAGGAGGTGCCAGGGGGGATGGCTGGGATGGTACACGGGGGCTCTGGAGACAGACAGAGGACAATGGCTATGGTTAATGTTGGACTACAATGACCTGGGTTAATGTTGGACTACAACGATCAGGGTTAATGTTGGACTACAATGACCAGGGTTAATGTTGGACTACAATGACCAGGGTTAATGTTAGACTACAATGACCAGGGTTAATGTTAGACTACAATGACCAGGGTTAATGTTGGACTACAATGACCAGGGTTAATGTTGGACTATAATGACCATGGTTAATGTTGGACTACAACCAGTAACCACTACAGCCAATAACACTGATAAAGGTTACTACCAGCCAATATACAGTAGATGTGTTGTTACACTTCAGAGTGATTGAGGTGAACAACAGCAACCATCAACATCCTCCTGTTCCTGTTAGCTCTATAACATAGGCCACATTTGACTTTCCAGTGATACATTAGAATGTGAGTGACAGACATGTCTGGCTGTGGGTCTGCTCTCCTTCTCCTGGTGAGTCATACCTTTCTTCTTGTCCTGCAGCTGCTTCATGATGTCATCGTGCTCGCCCCCCTGCTGGCTGGACGACGTCATGCGGAACGAGCCCTCGCGCACAAAGGAGGTGCGGCTGGCGTCGAACGAGGCTGTGACGCCACACTCCTTCTCGCGGCCGCTGCTTCCTCTCCAGACAGGCGGCGAAGGCACAGCCCACGGCGTGGCTCATACGCTCGCCCTGGTGACCACAACACACCCAGTCAACACTCCTCCTCAACACCCTTTTGGTGTGCGTAGGTGGGCGCATGCGTGTGTGTAAAATTCTATTATGTGTGAATGGGCACTAATACTGAAAAAGCCTGAATATAGCCTAAAGCCAGTCAATTTCCCTACTGGAAAATGCTTTATCAAACCAGAACCATGTCTGTGAGGAATGACTTGGCACTCCATTTTCATTCCATTATGCTATAAAAGTGGTTATCACCCTGGAGGAAATGTGGCTCAGAGTGCCAGGAGGTCACAGTGGATAGCGCTCCAAGAAGCAATTGAGATAGAGATAACCCTAGCGTAATCCTTATCTTAATCCCTGGGCGAGCGATGCGGGGATTGAATTAATCTAGTCGCTGGGCCTGGGCCCACTCACACACACACACACCCTCACCGAGTCCTTCAGGGCCATGAAGCAGTGACAGATCCAGCGGCGTGTGGTGCCGTCACGGCAGATGTAGGAGAAGGCCTTGTCATAATTGCGGTCGGGCGCGCAGAAGGACACCTTCTCAATGGTCTGGTCTACGATGAGGTCCTAAAGACAAAGAGATTTGACCACGGCATAAATGAAACGTATCACATAAATTGGTAGCCCATAGAGAATGCATGTGATTAAAACACACATACTAAAATGTCAAATGTAATTATTTGCTGAGGAAAGATAATCTACCTAGAATCAACCTTTGTTACGCTCAAGCACTAGATCTTGTTTACGGCTCTACAAAACATGTTCTAAAACATGGACAACCACTTTGTTTTTCTCTTGTTCCAGAATCTGTATCAAGCTGGTTCAGGAGTCTCAGCTGGTGACTATAGGGAACTATAGGGTGAGGAAGGGGCCTCCTCTAGTGGCCCCCGACAACCTTTGAGTCAGAGTGGAATGAGAGGGAAGAAAGAGATGAGAGGGAAGAAAGAGCTGAGAGGGAAGAAAGGGAGATGGGGTTCACACACTCATCCAGGCACTTCCTTCCACTCTTCTTTCTGGGAATAGGAAGAGGGGGATGAATGAAGCGGGCAAGGAATAAATAACAGTCTTTTCATTCAGAGACAATTAGTAGATGAAGAGAGGCTGGTGGTGGAAGTGAACGTCTGGTTATGTGTGTGTGTGTGTGCTGGGCTGGGTTGCCTAGGGGTGGGTGGAGGTGAGGGGGATAGCAAGGGGTGTGGGGTGGTGGGGGATGGAGGATCACTCAGAGGCATGTCACTGAAAAACTGAAAGGGGGCACAGTGCTGAGTCATGTCACATGAGTCAGATATGGAGGCGGAGGGAGAGGGGGCTTTCTTTCTCTGTGGCGGTGGTGTTCTTTGACATTGACTTTGAGAGGGCCAGGAGAGGGAGGGGAGGGGGGAGGGTGAGGAGGGGGAAATGGGGGGGTCAATTTGTGTACTGCCACACAGGAAACAAAAAAGACTGCTTAGTGGGACTGTTCCCCCCCCTTCTTTTCTCTGGCCTGAAAAGAAAAGTGGGTAATTGCACTCATTTTTACATTTTTAGCAGACGCTCTTATCCAGAGCGACTTACAGTTAGTGAGTGCATATATTTTTCATACTGGCCCCCCGTGGGAAACAAACCCACAACCCTGGCGTTGCAAGCGCCATGCTCTACCAACTGAGCTACACGGGACCACTCGAGGTGTGTGTGTGTTTCTGTGTGTGTTTATTAAATACAAATAAAATGCTATGTGTGTGTGTGTGTACTGTGTCTCCCTCCCCTACCCAAAGCCCCCTTTGGCATCCATCAGTAACACATATCAAGTGTGAAAACTCAGCAGTCCGGTCTAAAGTAAATCTGGCCTGCGAGGATAAACACAGTCATCGGGACAGGCACACGGTGCGGTCCTTGTGCTCTGAGCCTGAAGGGTGACATCATCAGTCTCAGCCCAGACTGAGAATGGCAGGTGACCTGGGAAAGGGGTAGAGAGAGACCTGCAGGGTGGGTAAGGAGAGGGGGGAGGGTAGCAGCCGAAGGGGGGAGAAGGTGCAGGGTATGGAAGTAGTGCTCAGGCTTCTGGGTAACTGCCAGCTTCTCGCCTGCTGAGCAGTTTTCTCTCTTTGTCTTTCCAACATACTTTTCCTACTATAGACGTAGGATCTTAATTTGAGGCAGTTTGCTACAGCAGAATATTTATTCTGCAGAAACAGGAATTGGGAATTATTATGTGGATTATAATTAATGGAAATGTTTGTAGGGGTTGATACATTTTTCGTAAGGGAACATCAAGTCTGAAATTTCAAAGTGAAAATTACAAACTTCAGAAGCCTTTTTAAACCTCAAATACCTCAAATACACTGCAAAGTTCTCCTGCATCAGAGTGATCAAATTAAGATCCTACATCTTGCTCTGTCATACGAACTCTGGACTTACTGAGATAGAGACCACCAGCAGGGGTATCTATGGTCCCAGGCTGCTGTTTCATGTTTAGCCACTGTTTACATCTGGAAGCAGACTGTGCGTGTTTGTATGTATGATTATCACACACGTTTATGCTAACATCCCTGCAGGCACACTCTTACCTTGGTTTTGTCATCCACCACTCTGAGACCGTCTGCCGACACCCACAGCACTGCTTTCACTGTCTTCTTCCCACTCTGTGGAGAGACAGAGCGAGAGAGAGGGGGGGGGGGTTCTGTAGTATTATAAATGCAAGAGTTCTAAACTTCCTTAATAAACACGTCTTGAGTAAAATCCAAACACCGCATGACTGATCATATTTCCACCCTACACACCCTGAAAGTTAAACATATCAACCAAAATAAGACCAAAATGTACGCTAGCTTTATTGACTTCCAAAAAGCATTTGATTATATTTTGGCATACAGGACTGTTCTACAAAGTTAATGAAAGTGGTGTAGGGGGTAAAACATATGACACAATTAAATCTGACTGGCAATACGTGCAGCATCAAAATTAGCAAGAAAATAAGATCATTCTTTAACCATGGGCGAGTCCTTCGCCAGGGTTGCAATCTCAGCCCTGCGTTCTTCAATATTTACATCAAAGAATTGGCCACTATTCTAGAAAAATCCTCAGCCCCTGGTCTAAGTCTCCACAATTCAGAGGCTAAATGCCTGCTCTTCGCAGATGACCTGTGCCTGCAGTCACCCACAGCACATGGCCTACAGCAGAGCCTGGACCTGCTAGAGCAGTACTGCCAGACCTCAGGGAATTAGACCAAAGTTCTCAATTGGTACAAAATACATCCTACACACTACAAGATTTCACCGAATGGGACAAACACCCCATTGAAGTTAGCTATTAAGTTAGCTATTAAGTTTTGGAAACATCTAAAATACAGTGACCCCCTCTCATATCATTACCAAGCTCTGCAATGCCAAGAGCTGAGAAAAAAAAAAAGGCCCCTCATCCAGCCGGTCCTGGGGCTGAGTTCACAAACCTGTTCTACTAACACACTGAAGCCTCAGGACCAGAACATCCAATCAATCAGAATAAACCAAATTACAACACAGTCTAAACAAAACTACATGACCTATTGGGAAACACAAGCACAAAACAAAATGCAGTGCTATCTGGCCCTAAATCGATAGTACACCATGGCAAACTATTTGGCCATGGTTACTGATCAAAACCTTACAAAAACCTTGACAAAGTACAGGCTCAGTGAGCACTAGCTTGCCATTGAGAAGGGTATACAGGAAAACCTGGCTCCCTATAGAGCAAAGGCTGTGCAACCACTGCACCACAGCAGAACTCGAGACAGAGATGCATTTCCTGACAAAATGTTTAAAAAAACAAAAAACAATTAGTGTCATTTCCCCAAATTTGAAACTCTTATTCAAGGTTTCAAAGACCTCTCTGATGAGAATAGGCTACCCGTCCTGCCAATAAAGCAATTTGAATTGAATTGAGAGGGAGAGAGAGACACAGAGAGAGAGAGAGAGAGAGAGAGGGAGAGGAGGAGAGAGAGAGAAGAGAGGAGAGAGGAAGACAGAGAGAAGAGAAAAAGAAGAGAGAAGAGAGAGGTAGAGATAAGAAGGAGACGAGAGAGAGAGAGAGACGAGATTAGAGTAGAGAGCGAGAGAAGAAAGATAGAGAGAGAGGAGAGACGAGAGGGGGGAGAGAGAGAGCGGTGCCTGGTCTTGGGGCTAGGATTTAGCCCTGCTGCAACACTAGGGGCAGTAGCAGCACCAAGGGGCTTCCCCTCTCATCCAACACACTCACACCACACCACAGGGCCATTCTATCACTCCACCTGCCATCAGCAGTTGTGAACTTATCTGACTGATGCTGCAGGGCTGGTGCAGTCAGATCACCAGAGGCCTAAAACATATGGCTGTATAGTAGATCTAATGTTTTTCATTGTCCTCAAGTGGCAATAGTGGAATGTATGGCCTCGTTCTTCTGTTTCTCTGTAGGAGGCAGTAGATAAAGAAATAGAGGTGGGTATCCTAAAGAGGGGAGCCAGCTGGCTGTCTCTCTCCACAAGCCTCTCTATCTATTCAACAGGGGGCACTAGCAACAGAACAAGGCCAGGCTAAAAATACCATCAAAATAAGAGGGTAGCTGGGAGAGCAGTCCTCCTGCACTCCAACTGAGGGGTGTGTGTGTGTGTATGTGTGTGTGTGTGTGTGTGTGAGTGAGAGAACGAGAGAGAGGAAGAGAGAGAGAGGAAGAGCGAGAGACGAGGGAGACTGAGCGCGCTGCAGGAAATGACTTTGAGAAAAAGAAAGCGTGGCAAACCGATAAAGCGTCAGTATTTTGCATAATCCCAAAGAGAAAGAGCGAGGGGAGTAAAGGAGAGGGGAAGGAAGAGAGTTGAGGCAGGGAGAGAGATGAACCAGAGGAGAGGAGTAGGAGGATGCAAAAGATAGGGAATCGTGGGAAAAATAAGGTAAAGCGATGGACAGAAGGTAGCAGGAGAGGAAGAGGAGGAGGAGAGCCTCTGAGAGAAGCTAAGAGTTGCTCCCTGACTACCAGCCAAAGGACAGACATTACAGCCAATCACTATCCTGCAGAACGAGAAAGAGAAAGAGAGAGAGAAAGAGAGGGAGAGAGAGAGGGAGAGGGGACTAAGTGTTTGGAAAGGTAAAAAAAGTGACAAATGAGATGACAGGGTGCAGCAGACTTGCTGATGAAGGGAAAAAGGCTAAAGGATACACACACACACACACACACAGACACACACACACACACACACACACAACTACCCTGCTGAGCAGTGGACAAAGCCCAAGGAAGACGATGGGAAAAAAAGGGTCAGGCTGGGAAAACAAACAAGACAGTGAAACACTGGAGCCGTCTCCAGGCTTCTCCGTGGGTCTAGGCCTGCTCTCTCGACTCCTTCCCCAAAGACAGAGCCCCAAGGGCGGGAGAGCCTGGGAGCTGACAGGGGGGTGTCACTTCCTTCCTGACCCCACTCTTACTGCATGCCACCCTATCCCCAAGACCATGTCTAGTATACCAGCCTTTTCAGCAGCACTGGCCCGGGCAGCAGCACATGCTATGGTCGCTTTCTCACTCTTTGCAGCTTGTGCTTTTGTGACCCCGCTTGTTCTGTGTCACACTGTTCGCACGGC